TTTTAATAAAAAAACTTTAAATAAAAAGATTTTTAAAAAGAATGAAAACAACAACAATCTTGCTTCCAAATCAGAGCACTAAGTACATGCTAGGCACCATGCTAAGCACTCGTGTGGTCCTGATAATCTTCGTAGAAGGAGGTACTGTCACTGCCCCCATTGACAGAGGCCACACAGACACCCGGAGGCCTGGGCTCCCAAACCACACACTCTCCTACCATTCTACTGGCTCATGTGCTGAGCCAGGGCATGGCTTCCTCCTCTGGGCCATCCCACCACTGGGACCACAGGCTCATCTTCATATGTTGCCTGGAGTAGGGAAAGGAAGAGCATTCACCTCTCTCCACTCCCTCCTCTCGCCTACCCAGAGGGCTAGATCACGTCATTACGATCCTTAACACCCTTTGTGACTCCCCAGGACCTCCGGGGTCCTGCCGGAGGTCTTCACTACCTGCGCCCACCCTATTCCTCCACTATTTCTCCCTGGAAACCCTGCCAAACTTCTCCATTCCCTTCCCCTTCCTTGCAGTGCCATCGCTGCCCCCCCCAACTCCTCTACCCCGCAGATCCCTACTCATCCTGTTGGGGAAGCCCACCCACAGCAGATGCCAGCACTTCCTCCTTGCTGCTCTCTGGGATCTCCCCCAACCCCCTCCTGCTGCTGCGGGGTGGCGGCAAGGATTTAGCTGTGTACCCGACTGCAACACTAGGTGGGGAGCTCCTTAAAGAAGGGAAATATGTGTGGTCCCCTCTGAACCCACATACCCAGCTCATAGGAGGGACTACAAAAATGATGGGAGCTGTTGAAAAAGCACAACTCCACCCGTACCTGTAAGACCCTATGGCAATCAAGAAGAAGAAAATGGGGTACAGTCCCCACCCCACTGGCCAGCTTTCTTTCCCTGAGATCAACAGGGCAGGAGGTGGGAGACAGAAGCGTCACTTTTCTCATAGCTCTTTGAAGTAGAAGCAGTTGGCTCCTGCTGTCCCCTGCTGGCCTGATCCCTTGAGGTCCGGGAGTGGCAGGGAGAGGGGACGGCGGAAGTGGGAAGAAGCTGTGCCCACGCCCCACGGGGGCAGAAGAAGTAAGTCCCACAGATTTCACACCACTGTTCTCTGGGGCCGCTCAGCTCTGTGGGGTGCAGATGGCCCAAGAAGACACATGGTAATCACTTGTCCAGGCAGGGGCTACCACCAGGGCCTTAGCATGTGCCTGCACCCCACTGTGTGCTCCCAACCCCCACCTTAGGAGACAAGGCAGAGGACTGGACTGGACGCCCTGGAAGGGTGCTTGGTGCTCAGCGACATTGTAATTCTTCAGTCAACAGGTCCATTTCAAGGCAGTGAGACCTCACCGGGACATACCTGCCCTCGGTGGGCAGCCCCGACAAAGCCCGTGTCCCTCGCACTGCAGCCATGAGAGCTCAACCTCACCTCGTTGACATCAATCTTGTTCTTCTCCATGTAGTCTCTGTCGTTGACCTGGCCGCCATCCACAAACTCCATCAGAAGGACCCGCTTGGTGGACAGCTCCCAGTAAATGCGGGGGACCTGAAATGGGAAAGAGCAGGTCAGAAGGGCTGGCGGGCCGGAAGCTAGGGGCCAGGACCACAGAAAGGTACAGTGAGCCAGGCAAGGGCAGATGCTCCTGCCAGGAACAGGAGACGAAGCCTGAGTGGGACCTGAGCAGTAACAGGTGGGGAAAGCGAGGGTCGGGCCAAGATAGGAGGGCAGGCCAGGCTGCCTCCTCTGCCAGCAAGGCCTCTGGTCCTTCCGTTAGAGACCCCCTCCTGCTTGGGGACCATAGAACGGCTTCCCCACCCTCCTCAGTGCCTCCAGACACAATTAAGAGCCAAAAGTAAAACTGGGACTTAGGGGAAAAGGTGTGGAACCCCCCATACCTGAGCCAGAGTTGGCATTAAAAGCTATTTCCCTCTCTCACTAGGCCAATTGCAAGCTCCTCACATGAATCTCATCCCTTTGCCTCAGCTTCTACACCTGTGCAATGGATATATTATATGTGTATGTTTATGAATGAGTTAACCAAAGAACAAATTTTTTTACTGGATGATAAATTTTTCAGTAAGGAAGTCCTGAGTTTTCTCATGCCTGTTCCTACAGGTCTTCTGTGGCAGACAATGCTGGATCCTAACCCAGTACCTATTCCCAATCCTCCTCTTCCCCAGAGATAGGAAAAACGAAATATTTTCCCTGCTTGCTTTGCAATCAGTATGGCCACAGGACACCGTTCTGGCTTATGAGTGGAGGTCTGCTAGAAGCTCTAGGAAGGTTTTTATTTTCTTCATAAAAAGGGATGTTTGTAAATGGTGTAGCTCTTCTTACCCTTCTGTCCTACTTTGAAAGTGAATGCGATACCTGGAGCTGCAGCAGCTATCTTGCAACCATGAGGAAAAGTCCAAGAATATCAGAGATGCCTGCCCTGATACGGTCAAACCACTAACACAATATCAGCAGGCAACTGCTGTAAGCCTTCTTGCCATGTGAGGAAAATAAATCTTTTTTGTTTGTTTACGATACTCTAAATTGGGCTGTTGATTACCTGTAGACAAATGCATTCCTAATTGATATGCTCTCCAACTCCCTCGGACTCTAAGAACACCCAATAGCCAAAAAAAAGAACAGATTTCACCAGGATTAGGCAGGAGGTCAGACCGCACCAATGGCTGCTGGGCTGCCATATGAGTGAGTGACAGCCAAGAGTGCCACCAATGCCAGGACGAAGGAATTACTGGGATATTTAGCATGTCACGTTTCCCCAACAACTTGATGGGCTTGTTTCTACATACAAATAAAGAAACTAGGGCAGTTAATTCAAGGGTTCTGGGGAATAAGGACTTCCCTCATCTCGACCCCCAAAACTCATCTGGCAGCAAGACCCCAGTGCTCAAGTCAAGAAACCTGTTTCCCTTCCTACTTCTGCTAACTCTGCCATGTCTTAGTCCAGCCACTTAACCTCCAATGCCTCAGTTTTCCTCCTTACAAAGGACTGTTCCTGCCCCATTGCAAGGAGCTCTGAGGATAACTGGGGCTGCCCATACCAGTAAAACACCCTGGGCTTCCTGGAACGAGGGTCCCAACTGAAGTCAAGGTGTCATTTGGGTTTGCTACTTTCCTACGGTTTGGGCCATTTGAAAATCTGGGCTAGAGAAATCTGTGACTCTCTAGGACTGTGAACTGAAATTTCAGTCCTGCTTGGCACTTCTCAAAAGCTACCTTTAAAAATATGAGTGCAAGTTTGCTGTCCTTGACCATGGCTTCCAAAGGGAAGGGACACATTTTGGGGTTAAGTTCTTCCCCGGGTTTGTTTGGAAACCTAAGCTTGGCAGTGGGCACCAGGGGCTCCAGGGACATGAGGTCGAATCCCCCATCTGGGTCTGCCTGGGGCAACATGGACAACAGCTTGAAAGAGCCACAGATGGGATGAGAAAAACCCAAAGACTGGAGACTCTGGCCTTGTTAATAAGGGCAGTGGGAGGCTGCACTCCCCCCGCCTCCACCTTTCTCCCCGGTCTCCCCCCAGATGCAGCCATCCCTGTCTGACAATACGATGGCCCTCTGCGGCACCTGCTTAGATCTCAGATGACAGAATACCAAACCGGGAGGTAGAGAGCTTTGCCATGAGAGTTCAGGGAGGATGGCAACTGCCCCCCGATGGCGACACCACAGAAAGGACTTCAAAAGGCAGATCTGCTCCCTGCACAGTTAGGAGAAACTTGGCTGGACAGTGGGACGTAAGGTAGACAACTTGCTCCTAAGTTACCCTGTGGGCAGGAGGGTTTGAAGTGTAAGGTGAAATTCCCTTCACCCCAAAACCAGTGTTTCATCCCCATGCCTTACTCTTCTCCTCCCATCACAGTAGGGAAAGATGAAAGAGAATCATTTTAAAGAGGCAATGAAAAGAACCCACCACCTCCTCCAAACAAAACTGAACCTAGGGAGGTTCATGGCCAGCGAGGCCCAAGGGTCACACCCTGGCCATCAGGACTCTAGATCCAAAGTCTATCTCCTTGATAAAGATCACAGGCCCCACTCCCGTGGGCTCCACATACCCCCATGCTGGGGCCAGTCCTGATCCAAAGAAGGAAGGCACAGATTATGGAAAATTCCAGCTCAAGACCTTGGGCCTCAACCTCATAATCTGGCCCTGACCTCACGCTTCTATTTTGTTCCTGCGCTTTGGTGAACACAACTGTGAAGCAGGCCCCAGTTTGCCTGGGCCAGTGCCCATCACCTGAGGGAGCCCAGGGAAGCAGAGCACAGACCCGGAGTCAGATCGTCAGGCTGGAGCCCTGGTTCTGCCACCTCCAAGCTATGTGACTGCAGGTACATTGCATGACCTCTCCGAGTGCCAGCTTTCTACCTGAAAAAAGGCGACGACATTGAAGCAACAACCCCAACTTCCCACTAGCATGTGTGGAGTCCTGGCACTCGACACAGCAGCACACACTTAGCACCTGCTAGACAAGCATCAGCTGCCATATGACAGTCGTACAGAGTATCACAGGTGGTTCTGATACACAACCAGGGCTAAGAGCTAATACTACAGACAGTTCAGCACAATAAATTATTGTGCCCCATGAATTATCATGAAGGCAGAATAGCACAGTGATTTAACATGCAGGCCCTGGGGCCAGGTTGCCTCCATCCAGAACCTGCCTCTGCTCCTTACGGGAAGCTGTGTAACCTCAGGCAAATGGTTTCATCTCTCTGGGCCTTAATCTCCACACCATTGACATGGGGCTAATCATGGCATTTCCCTCATATGGCTAGATAAGGATTAAAGAGCAAATACGAGGCACCTGGGTGGCTCAGTAGGTTAAGCTCTGACTTCAGTTCAGGTCACAGTCTCATGGTTCGTGAGTTCAAGCCCCACATCGGGCTCTGTGCAAACAGCAGCCTGAAGCCAGCTTCAGATTCTGTGCCTCCCTCTTCTCTCTGCCCCTCCCTGTCCCTCTCTCTCTCTCAAAATAAACAAACATTAAAAAGTAAATAGGGGCGCCTGGGTGACTCAGTCAGTTGAGCATCTGACTTCAGCTCAGGTCATGATCTCACAGTTCATGAGTTCAAGCCCCACGTCAGGCTCTGTGCTGACAGCTCAGAGCCTGGAGCCTGCTTCGGATTCTGTGTCTCCCTCTTTCTCTCTGCCGCTCCCCCACTCGTGCTCTGTATCTCTCTCAAAAATAAACATTTTTTTAAAAAGTAAATATACACAAAGCACTTTTAAAAAGGTGTCTAACATTGCATAGACATGTGAAAATTATTAACTCACACTAATTATCATATATCAGTGGTTCTTAATCTTTATTTGTGGGAAATTATTCTCCAAAAGCATACACATCCCTCAAGATCTGCCCACAACTTCTGGAGAGTCGCAGGATCCTAACCTTGCACTAAGGAACCCTGGAGTGGCCCTGCTCTGGAGACGACCACTTTACCTACCCTGCCGTGACATGTGCAGGCGCACTCTCATGTCTTCCGGCCTCAAACCCCATGGCTATAAGGCTTCTCCCTCCTACCTTGTCCCCAGCTGTCCCCTGGGTTAGTCACAAACCTCACCGCATGCTCTGTCCCCTCCCCATAACACACACACACTCTGACTACAAATCCACAAATGCCCTGGTCTTGACCGTTCAGCCTGGCTGCCCTCTCGCCCTCTCCCAGTCTCCCTGACACCACATTTGCATTCAGAGCTCGTCTGAGGCTCCGAGATTTATGGCGTGGGGCTGAGGTTATTAAGCCCCACTGGAAGATGCCTCACACACTGAGAGGTAAACTCTTCACTGAGGCTTAATTACGCACAGATGTTGTGATGGGGTGCCAGTGTGCAAAAGCAATCTATCTCCAGTTTTAAGAGCTGAACTGGGTTCACAGTGCAAAATTCGCTTCCCACTTGTTATGTGTTTAAGCAAAATTAATTACTCAGGAGCCCTAGTAGCACCATTGTCTTAGGAACAGTGTGTGGGTTTTAGAAGCAGCAGGTCGAATCGTTACATTAATTATTCACCCATTTGGCATCCTCATTTCAAAAATTTGTGTTATTATTATTATTACATGTCTTGGTCTGGCAGGCGCTAGTTGGCCTCAGCCAGAGGACGATCTGCTGTTTCCATGGGAACGGTGAAGGAGATGGTTCTGTTTGTCAGGTTCATAGTTCTGGTGCTGAGGAGCACCCCTGCCGGGTAAGAGGCAACAGAATGTCCTCAGGCGAGCACCAGAGATGAAATCAGAAAATCTGGGTTGTAGCCCTAGCCCCTCTACTCTAAGACTGCCATCTGTAAAAGGGGATGATAGCTGCTGGCAGGATTCAATGTCATGGTACCCGCAAAGTGTTCAGGGCAGCAGAAGAAACATTTAGTAAGGACTGCCTATCCCTTTGTACAATCAACACTTCTTGGAACCCCACTCTGAGCTCCTTTATCCTGAGTAGAATTAAGTACTTGCTCTCGGGCATCCACAGAAACACAGCAAAGTCTCTGCCACAGTATGTACCTACGTGCATGGCACAGACCTGCACTGTGGCAACAGTGTGTTTGTCCCTGCTAGATGGGAAGTTTGCTCAGGTAGAAGCCAAACCCTCTTCTACTCATCCAGGTACCCCTAGCTCCTAGCAGAGCAACAAGCTCAGGAAATGTGAGATAAAGGAATGAAGGAACGGGATATGCAAGTAGAAGCAAACATAGTTTAGACTCCACAGCACTATGCTAATTAGTCTCACTCCTTGTCTAAGAGAGCCAAGTTTTTATTTTATTGGTGGCTTGAACTTCAAGGCTGGGGCAGGATTACTAGATCTAGTCTGCACATCTGGATTTACAGGCACAAGAGGGTCTGTACACGCAGATTTACAAGGAAAAGCCAGTCAAGTGTCCAGCAGGCATTTAGACAGACCTGGCTCTCAACTCACTCAGAGTCAAACTTTGCCAATGGCTACATCTTTCACCAAAATCAGTGTCAAGACACTACATTGACCCACAGTTGCAGCTTCCCTCCCATGAGCTGAGCTTCAGGATTCTCAGGTGGCTAGTAGAAACACACCCTCAGTCTCCCCATCTCTGTTAATTACCTCCATTTTTTCGGATGTCTTCAGAAGCCACGAACACTTTAGTACAGAGCAAAAGACCTTCCCATTCAATGCACTGAAACACCCTCCTCCCCAAGAAGAGCATTGCTTGACTGTTTGCTCTGGAACAAGCACCTGGAGCTCCTAAAGGCTCTGTGGCCTCCCTTCCCACATGCTCCAGGCTTCCTGAGTGAAGAGAGAAGGGCCTGATCTCTTCAAAGAGTTGAAAGCCAAGCTCTCTATACAGACTACCAGAGGGGCCCAGCCCCTGCACCATGAAGAGGAGCCCCTAGGTAAACGGGTCCACACCCCGCCACAGACCTAATGTGTTCTAAGAACAGTGGCGGTGACGTGCATCTCTCTCATCCCAACCCCCATGGAGCCCGTGGGGACCATCAGGCCAGTCCTCAAAGGCCAGCGCCAGTGGCAACCTCCTCGGCAGAGCCTTCCCTACCCTACCCTACTCCCTACCATGGGAGTCCCCTCTCCCAAATCTCTAGAACACTTACCAGTGGACCTCGTACAGAGCTGCTACTTCGTATCACTCGATATCATTTCCCTCAGGAGGAGTCTTCTGTCACCATATAGGCAGTTCTACAGTAGTTGAAAACACAAACTTTTTCCGATGTGACTGATCTACCAGGGGTCAGTTTGATCCTAATCCAAATTTTGCACTTGCTTCTATGGGCTGTCATCCACAGGAAGCACTGTATGACCTCAGGAAACTGCTTCAGCTGAACTGCACGACATGGGCACACACAACACACACAGACGCACACCTAAACGTTGCCACGTGCATACACCCGCCATCATCACTTTCCATCCAGTTTCAGACGACCCTCCGTCCACACCTCAGAACAACACTCCAACAACTCCTCTGATGCCCAGTTTCACAAGCAGATGTCAAGGTAGAGGCCCGTGTTCTGCTGCCTTACGTACTTCTCAGCCATTTTTTTTTTAATTTT